ATTGTTTTCTTGTTGAAATTGTTGTGCATCTAACTGGCCTGGGCATGTTCTGGGGATGAAGATTACCAGCAACTGCAACCTACGCCCCAATTCGAATGCAATTCATGACGTTATTTTCTTATCCATCCAACACGTCAATGGCCAGAAAACTTACTAAATTTGATTAAAATATTAGAGAGAATTACACTCAGACTCTCGAAGTTTGTCACATAATCACTTAGTCTCTCTTATATTTGAAATATTATACACAAATCCCCTGAATTTTATACACGCGTAACACTTAGACCTTGTTGTAAATGTCTCTTTGTCCGTCCGTTAATAAATTACACTCAGACTCTCTAAAATTTTTAGACATATAATATTTAAATTTCTCAAATTTAAAATATTGTACTTAAATAAAAAATATTACAATCAAAGATAAAATATTAAATATTTTAAATTTTACAACTAAAATTTATGTTCTATTATGTCATTTATTAAAATAAAATTAAAATTAAAATTTTATTTTTTTCTTAAAAAAATTATAATTAATATACTATTATACCATCTATTAGAAAAAAATTAAAAAACCAAATAAAGGGTCAAACGATGGATTCGACTCCTCTGCTGTTCATTAAGAACATCAGGAGCTGATGTTCTCCAAATTGCACTGTTTGGTGCCTTTTTTAAAAAACTAACCAGACCGAAAATAGACCCAAACCGTTGGGTTTTTGGCCGAATCCGACCCAATCTCTCATCTAAACCCGTGTGAGTTTCATTTTTAAGAAAATAAAGCTCCCAATTTTTTCCTCGATTTTCTCGTTCTTTCTCTCTATTTTCTTAGCAAGAATCCCTCAGCTCTCAGAACGGGACATGCAAACAAATCTCAACAGTCATCATTCATACCAAACATAATTACATACAAACAAAAATAACAAACAATGTTGAGACAAAAATAACCAAAGATGGTATTTTTTTTTTTGCCCCAAGTGGACGAGTTAGGGGGAAAAAATTCAAAAATTTGGTTATTTTTCTGCTCTATTTAACATGATTATTTGTTTTTGGATGCTTGTTTGTTTGATTGGGAGATTTGGGTAGATTCATATCATTACATGCGTTCACATTTGATTTACATTACCTGTGCTCAAAAACTGTTCAATGAAATGCCTAATAAAGACTTGATTGCTTGGAACGCAATGCTTACTGGCTATTGTCATCTGGGTCTTCACTATCCATTGACAATGAGAGCCAAGCAGCAACAGGACCAGCAAAAAGGAGTTAAAATCACCTTCAATGATTGCCAAAGAAAACGGTTGGAAAACTCGCAGCAGCTGGAGGCGCAAAAGGAGCCTTGATCCCCAGTAGGTACCAGCTGAAAAGCCAACTAAGAGTCCAGTTGAAAAACCAACTGAAAATCCAGCAGAAAACCCACAAAGAACAGCTGAAAGTAACTTATGGCTATCTGTTTGCCCTCTGTGTGGACAAATAGTTGAGTTATACTTATGATGAATTTTTGGATGTTGTTTCACTGTGTTTGGTGTGATGTTACTGGGATGAAAGGATATTCTACTATGATGATTTTCTGTGTTGCAGCTGTATTGCAAGGTGTGTGATGGTGTAGTTTATGATGGACTCAAATGTGTAGTTTAAATTGGTTTTAATCATTACAGGATTAAAGCCAACTCTACATTTTAAATTTTTCTGAGGTGTTATTGGAGTGGAAACTGAGGAGTTGTTGTTCAGTTTAGTGGATGAATGTAATGCTGATTGAAGCAGGTTTGCAGCATTTTGAAATGTTGGCTTTACTGAAGCTGGTAATGCTAGTTTTGCTGGGGTCTGTTACTGATAGTGCAACTGATTTTTGTTTTTCTAGCTGGTATAGTAGTTACAGCAGACATATAACTTGATGGTTAATGAGGTTGTTTGTATTGGAAAGGAGCTTGTGATGTCTGTTGGTTGAACTGCTTGAAGCTACTGCAGGGATTATGAGATGCAGTTTTGCTGGGTTACTACACTGCTATGCTGCCTGGTAATATGCAGTAGTTGAGATTTAGGAGTCCAGGCATTGAGCTGTGAGCAAAAGCTGTGCTTTGGAGTTTTCATACAGACTTACAAAAAATTACTGTTTTGCCCTTGTAACAGTTTTTTCTGATTTTGTTGTTAACAGTTATTGTTTTTTGTTTTGAAAACAGTTTCTGTTTTGATTCTTGTAATTTTGAGATTAATAAATAAAATTTTCTTTCTTTACCTTAATGACAAAAAAAATTGATTGCATATATGAATGCTACACAGTTTAGCAATGGTCGTAGTGTGTTTGAGGCAATGCCAAAAAGGGTGAAGATTGCTTGAAATACTATGATTGCTAGTTATGCTCGATGTGGTGAAATTAAAATTTGTTGGATGATGGAGGCATTGCATGTTGAATGCATAAACATCAACTCACATTATGGGTTCATGTACATTGGTGTTTCCAAAAGGATGGTTGATCTTCTAAAACAAAACAATAGAAGATTCACCATCCTCATAGCAAAAGAATATATTGTAATTTCACATTTCAAAAGGATCAAAAAGAAAGTGTGAAGATAAAGCATAACTGGACTTCAAAACTTGAACAATAATTTGAAGCACCATCCAGCATTACAGTAGCATCATCAACTTCATTGCAAAACCATCAGCATCAAGCAATATCAAAAAAATAGCACCATCAACTTTTGTCCTGTTGTTCTTCAAATATCTTTGAAAAAATTATAGAAATTCTCGTTCATGAAGGAGGATTCCGCACCGAAAAAATGCATTTGTGTTGCATCAAATGACAAACCCTACATAAATTAGAATAGATCAGTGAGAATATAAGATTAAAAGCAATGTAATCAATATATAAATAAACTAACATACCTGAGTATTGGATGCTTGTGAACATACTGGTTGTGAAGGTAATGATTGTGGACATACTGCCTTTAGGATAGCATCATATGCAAACCTTCCTTTGGGATGACATCATATGCACACATTCCTTAAGGTGCAATGAATGATTGTGATCATCCTCCCATTTGACCACGATAAAATTTTCAATTTCCCAATTGAGGGATATGCACATATGAGCTAGACATTTGGTTTGTGTCTCGACTCGCGACTTTATTACTTTCCAATCCCTTTTATCCACATCTCTTTGTCTCTCTTTGCAACAAACATACTTTCTATAAATCATGATCTTGTTTTTCTTAATTTTATTGTGATAGTTTTTTCTCACACTAAATTTGACTGAACCTTCATATTTGTTATAAAACTCATAAGCATCTTCATCCGAGTCAAACTGCATACCAATACTCGGAGTGTTCACAAGTTCATTAACCACAACGGACTCCATTATAGATGTCAGTACCTGCAAAAAAAAAAAAAAAGATGGACTAACTCCTGTATCAACACTAAAACAAGCTTCAATGCATTTTTTTTTTTTTAAAATAGTATGTTACATGGAGAAGGTGGCGATGAGGTTTGAACCCACAATCAATATAAATTAACAACAAACCAAAATATCATAATTAAATCATATCATAAAATTTAATAATGATCAAAGAAATCAACAAAACAATCAAAGATTCAAAATTTTAAAATTTAAATTTAGGTCAAGAAAAATCCAACTAATAAAAATATAAATTTGTGGGTGTGTATGTATATATATATATATATACTAGTTATTGTCTATGTCTGAAGCCACAAAGTAATAAAAAATATAAATAATAAACATATTTGTATTTATATCTAAAATCAAATCACAAACATAGAGAAAAGATAAAGAAATTTAAGCATCGGTTTGAAGTGGGGATGAGAGATGGTGGACGACAGTGGTGATGGTAGAAGACGGTGATGGTTGTAGTGGGTAGCAATGACTGTGGTGGCGATGATGGTGGCGATGACGGTGATGGTGGCGATGGTGGCAGCAGCAATGGTGGTGGCGGCAATAGTGGTGGCGACGACAACGGTGGCAGCGACTATGGTGGCGGTGGTGGTGGTGTGGTGGCGATGGTGGTAAAGATAATGGTAGGACGATTTCAAACACTATTTTTTTTAAGTATTTATGTAAAATAATTTCTATAAGTATTTTTAAAAAGTCGTTTCAAACATACCCTTATGGGTTTATTTTTCCTATTAAATTTAGGATGTTAATATTAGTTGTTAGATTAACTTTAAAGTAAAATTTAAAATGATCTCAACCGCGAATAGTAAAAGTTATTTTGTTTATCTTTTAAAATTTAAATTGTAAGTTACTTTATTATATAAATATGTGTGTTTGTATGTGTGTGTTTATTCATATATTCACTTAAAATATTCGAAATAGACATAAAAATACCTGAAATGAACGAAGGGGACGAATAAACAAATATTGGTTCGTTTCTTGTTAATAAATAAAGCATCGCAACAGTATGTTCACAAGCAAGACTGCAACCGGATTGATTTTTGATTTAGCGGCTGTGTGTACATAGGAGTGTGGAGTGTGCCAAAGTGACGCCAAAAGTTAACTTTTGCTTATGATGGGGTTGGAATTGGCCAAAAATCTCCAGCTGTTTGCGTTTGTTTTGGGTCTGGTTAGTTTTTTTAAAAGGCATCAAACGGTGTCGTTTGGGAGAACAGCAGCTCCTGTTGTTCTTAATGAATAGCAGAGGAGCCGAATCTGTGAAACGATAATGAATACAATATTTTTTATTTTTAATTGAGGTAATTTAATCGTTTACGTTAATTCTATAACTAATAAATGATGTAAATATAATATTTTAAACTTGACCAATTTATGCGTCATATACTTACAAATTTTAGAGAGTCTGTGTGTAAGTTACTAATCGATTTAGTAACAGACATTAAGAATCTAAATGTTAAAAAATCTCAAAGAATTTGTGTATAATATTTCAAATATTTGAGAGTTTAAGTGATTAAATAACAAACTTCAGGAGGCCTAAATATAATTCTCCCAAAATATTACTATAACACACTCACATGAGAGGTTTCCAGGAAATTTCCAGGCACCCAAACAGACTCAAACCCAATTGTAAACGTTGATAGAACGGTTTGTTCATGGTGGTACTGTACTGTTTTTGGATCGTATAGGTGAACAGTAAGAGTGAAACTATTTGTTGAGGTTTTTTGGAGATTAGAAAGAGGATGGATGGGTGGTTGCTTCATGCGTCGATGGTGCAACGGAGGAGGAGGAGAGCTGATTGGCACCCACACCACGGCGATACCCCTTACCTTTGTCACCCCTCTAGTGCACGATGGCTCGAAACATCATCGTTGATGGCGGCTACGACGACGACAATGGATGAAACGGCTGTCAGAGCCCGTCAAAGGCTTGAGGAGAAGCTCGGTTGCTTACCTTCTTCTTCCAGGTTTCCTCTACATCTCAAAAACTTTTCTCTCTCTTTTCCCTCTGAGCCCTGTCTTTTATCAAGTATTCTTTGTGGTAACTCAATCTCATAGCGCATAGTAAATTTGTGTGAAGTGGTCGATAAGTTTAAGTAATCTCATACAATCGTCAAATCAAATGATCGAAAATCTCATCATTTGTAGGTGGGTCAACCGACCGACGGACCGACCGAATTGGATAGTCATAGACTAATTCAAATTGAACCATATTGTACGATACTGACACTTTAGGTTCAAAGTGCCATTAATTCCTCTTTTTGACACCAAATTATGTTCCTGCTTTCATAACTTTTGCCAAATTTGTTTTAGTACCACTACACGATGCCGATGAATGCCCCTATTTGTGATTTAGTGTTGTCGTGTGAAATTATAAGCACATACTTGTCTCTTGTGCTTACATTGTAATCATATCATTGTTTCATGTGAACTGTGTAATGACCGTAAAGTCTGTTAACATTCCACAATAGTCGTTACACATCGTTATAATACCGTAACTGGTGTTGTAGGTGTGAAAAACATTTCGACCACTATAACGAGTCTAATGGTATCGACGGCTATTGATATCGCTATGTAACGGCTGACGCTCAATTTTCAAATCCTTATTCATGATCTTCTGGATGATGATTTAGCACTACCTAGTTTTTGTAAGTTAGGATCATAAATGAGCCATATCAAGCCATATTTTTATAACTTAAGTCGTAAAAAAATTGCTCAACACATGTCCTATCGACCTATAATCGGATTTGTGTCGTATATTTAATCTCTTTTAACAGGTTCGTGTCTATCCACTCTTACAAAACAGGTACGTGAGATCAATCTATTTATCACCTCATTAAAGTAAACCGTACCACCACTAATTTCGTTGTGGGTTAACGAGTTGTGTTAAAAATTATCGACTCTCACATAAATCATGATAGTTCAGGCGGAGAACTGTTCAAGTAAACTCAAGTGGAGGCAGCAACATAATAGCAGAAAAGATGAATGCTTGGTTGTGTTCAAGACTACGAGGTAAATGCTGGTTTTCCGAACTCAGGAACAGTGAAGCAGATAGGCAACAGATCTGTGTTGTATGTTTAGAAGATTTTGAGGAAGAGCAACAAGTAATATACCTCCCATGTTCTCACAAGTACCACACAAATTGCCTTCTACCTTGGCTTGCTGCTCATCCCTATTGCCCTTGCTGCCGAACTCCCGTTCAACCTGATATTCCTAACTAATAATGTTGTCAGTGTCATCGTTTTCTAGTCGTAAATGTCGTTTAGATCACGTTTAATGCATTTTTCTATTTTATTTTGTAATTTCAAGTATTTTGGAGTTTTTGAGTATTTAGCAGGTGATATTGTTAATGATGTTTTTCTAAGAAACTATTCTTCTCTACCCAATGGATTTGGTGTTTTAAGAATTAGTAATACTACGCTAATCAAATTTGGAGTTTTTATTGGTACCAAATGAGATGGCATCAAATAAAGGAGCTCAAGTTAGCTGTTATGTCATTTGAACTCTAAATTTAGTCTCAAAATTTACTCAGTGTAACATTACTCTTTAGGAATTAACCTAACTTTTTAAGAGTTTTTTGTTCTGGTACTATTGGGAATAATTGACAACAGGTCTGAAGGTAAAAGTATAAGGATGTAAAATTTTAATGTTCCATTAAGATGTCTTTCACTCTTCTTCTTTTTTTCGTTAGTCATGGATGTCCAGATCAGTTTGTGTAAATCTCGACTAATTTCCTCTCGATTTAAGTTATCCACCTTGATGGACTCACCTAAAAGAGTTAACAAAATTTGAACTCAATCAAGATGCTTCTAACCATCAAAAATTACCCTTGTTGCCCAAGGGTCAACAGTGGACTGGACCTCCTTCGGCTGATTAATGAGCTGGAAACCAAAAAAAACTAGTGGATTAATGAACCGGGCTGTGTTCATGAGCCCTAATTTGGTAGCCCATTGGGTTCTTTAAGCCAAAGATGGCCCATGGCTTACCTATTGGGCTATCAACTACCAACACGATGTCGAGTGACTCGAACTGAATCTAAGTTTTAAAATCTCAACTTAAATTCGATCTAAGTTTCGTTTACGCATAAATTTATGAAATCGGGTTTACATTCAGGTTCAGTTCTCCTGTTCAAATTTTTTAATTGGGATTTCAATACAATTCAAAATAAAATTGGGTATTGGGTTGAGTGGGGCTCAAACACCTTACCACACCCGGAAGAGTAATTTGGAAAAACCCAAGGCCCAAATTAACCCACTTAACCCGAACTCTATGGTGTTAAGTATCAAGATAATTACTTGGAATTTGTCATTTTGACTATGGTTAATTGCACATGTTTTTCTTATAAAAGGAGTAATGAACATAATTCAGATGTATAAATAACTTAATGATTCTAGTTGAAGTTGAATTTGCGATAATGAAACTCATCTCATTTTAATACACAACTTTTGATCGAACGATAGCCTATATATCTCCAAAATAGATCCCCACATCTTCTGTTTAGGCTTGTCAATTGTGTTGGGTGAGACAAATTTGACTTAAACAAACACTTCATAAGCTACTACAGTAGCACAAGCTTGTCTCCTTGAACATGCTTTACAGGTACAACATGCTACTATATTGAGAGTGATAATACTGAAATAATCTCAGCAGAGGGAGCTCCTCCCTGAGAAATCAGTGCTTTCATCGAGGAAATTAGGCAATTTGCTAGATTCGTTAATCTAAAAAATTTATACAAGTCAAAAGTCCGGTAGCTCTCTGGATAACAGCATCTGTAATGTTCAGCTCCCTCTCTCTCTCTTTGAGTTGGGTCACCCGTCTTCCACCCGAGCTTATGTTGTACTACTTTTTGATTGTAATTAATCTTTGCTTACTTAAATGAAATTACAAGTTAATTGATAAAAAAAAAACCCTGATTTATTTATTGATTGAGTCGCATGGAATTCACTCAATTCTAAATAATGGTAATTTAAAAAATATTAAAACCGTCTAATTTAATATTATATGTATATTTATTTTGACACCTCTAAAATCTTTTAGCCAAAATTACTTGGAGATAATGCACCATAACTTGTCTAGCACAGGAGGGCTTTTTTTTTCCCAGAAGTAAGGGAAAAAATTTAAAAGAAAGATTATAAAGTTAGTCTTTCAAACATGACCACCAATCAATCTATAATCAATACCTTATTGATAGAAGTGAGTCCTATAATAGCAGTAGTTTGGCTTTTACTACTTCACATTGAATGCTATGCTAAGCCAAGCTAAGCTGTCGTGTCTTATAATATCTAACTCGTGATCACTGCCCAGACATCCTGCCCCTCCGCCGTACGGCACACCCATACCGGCGGCGTACGGCTGTGATTATTTGGGACAGCCTATGCATGAAAACCCACATAGAGCTGTAGAGTCTGCAGCAGTTTTTCTTTGGAATTTGATTCAAAAGTACACTTTCTCTCACTGTAACTCTCTTTTCTCTCCTGTTTCTTTCAGTTTCGTGAGTGAGAACTCTCTTTCTCTCTCTTGTTTCTTTGAGGTTCGTGAGTGAATTATTGCAAAGCTTTTTCCTCTTACTGTCTTCTCTGCTTTTTCCCATTTCTCGGTTTTCGTTTCCCATGAACGAAAGCTTTATTCTCTTTACAGTGGAGCCTCTTCTGTTTACATTGGAGCGTCTTTATTTCTCTTTATAAATTCCAAAATAGTTAAATTAGTAATAAAAATAATTATAAATTTACACGTTTTGATTTTAAATTTTGATAATTATTTAAAATCAGATTATAAAATTTTTTTTCAAAAATATCTTAATCTCGATATAGAAGATTTACTTTTAACCAAATTAATAAAAAAATTAGTAAAAATACGTATAAATTAATTCAAACACTCTTAATCTTTAAAAAAAAAAATAGAGCATCCTCAATACGCAGCCTTGTCTATAACTTAATGGCCACCAACTCTAAACTCTTCTTTTTTATTTTTATAATATTGTCACCAAAAAATACTTTCAAGCAAATCGAAAACATTTACAAGTTGACAAAGGAACTTATAATTTTCGTGGGTTGAATTAGAGAAGTCCTAAATTTATATATTTTGAGTTCGAGTCTAACGAGTTTAATAATTTTTACAGAATGATCAAATTAAGGCATAGTTTTGTATATTTTGAATTCCAATTTCACTTAACGTTCACATTTAACCAATGTAACTTTGTGAATTATTTTATACTAGAAGTAATCTGTACTTTTGGTCAATTTGAATGATGTCGAAACGGATATTAATGACCGTTGAATGAATCTATTTTAAATTGTCGAGTGAATTTATTAAAATTTTTTTATTTTATATTATAAATATTTAAGACTTTTGACATAATCATGACCCTAAACAATATATGATTGGAATAGTTGGGTTTTATTAAGAGAAAAAAGGGTTTTCATCATTATCCTAAGCTGTGAAGTTTAGTGGTATTTATTTGAGGGTCTTTGGAAATTGAAGCTTTTGTGTCACTGTTTTTGCTTATTAATGTCTTGAGAGTGAGAGATGTTACACTTAGAAGCCAAGTCTCTCTCTCTCTTTCTCTCTCAAGTCTAGCAATGTGGGTGCCAAATGCTGTAATCAGCTAAATCTGGAGATTCATGGTTTTGGATCCTAGATGGTGCCCTTTAACTGAACTCCACCATAGTTATCACTTATAACCAGGAACTTAAAATGGGTGATTGTGATGCTATATTTATCATGGTTGATAGGTAGGGATACATCATCTGGTTGGTGCCACCATTAACTCCATGAGACCCTGCAGGTGACTTAAAGCTTTGTGTCGCAATTTGCATAAACTACGCCTTAATTAATGTAATACGTGTAGTTTCGGTTGATTGTGTACATTTTGAATTTACGTAATGACATAAATTTAGGTAAAACTATTATAGATACATAGTTTATGTTTTTGAAGTTCTGCTATGCGGAGAGAGAAAACCCATTAGTATGTGAAGTTATGGTCCTCATGGGTAATGGATATGGGCTTTGACGGTTAGATATTTGGATCCGATTCAATGGCGGGTTAAATTATGTTGGGCTATGTGGAGAGAGAACCCAATACTCAGAAATCGGATGGAGTCTTTTTATATAGTCATCATTTTAATCCCATCACGATTACAAACACTTCACAATGTTAATTGAGTATAATGGTTGACCAAACACTACTTGTGGTGCTGATAATCAAAGATTCCTTTGAGAATGAACCAGAAAATCAATGTAATCGTGTGTGGGTTAAGATTAGAATGTTGGTTCACCATTCAAAACGATGGAGAGTTCTTTTTTGTTTCACACTTGCAACACTTGACGGCTATTATAAGTTTCGTCTATATAATAAAGTATAATATAATTCAAATTTTAAAAAGATAAATAAAATAATTTTTATTTTTTACAGTTAAAATCTTTTTAAATTTTACTTTAAAATTAATCCGACAGTTAATATTAATATTTCAAATTTAATAAAAAAAATAGGTCTCTAAAAATATATTTGAAGTAACTTTTTAAAAGTATTTAGAACTGCCTCACCCCACCATCGCCCCATCACCATCACCACTACCATTATCATCGTCACCCCACCACTAGCCCCCCCCTCCCACCGTCGCCTCCACCACCACCATCCCCACTACCTCGACCCCCACCACCACCACCATCATTATCGCCACCTTACCACTACCTCCACTATCTCACCGTTATTCCTACTACCACCCATTATCATTATTACTCCCATGGTTGGCATCATCATAATCGATCGTCGTCACTCATCATAACCATCATCATCTTTCACCACAACCACCATTGTTGTCCACCACCACTATTATCACTCGCGCTCAACTACAATTAGATGCTTAAATTTATTTTTTTTTACTCTATCATTGTAATTTGATTTTAGGTGTGAATATAAAAATATTTATTATTGATTATTTTTTTTATTACTACGTACATTCAAGTACGAGAAATAACTAGTATATTAATATCACAAAAAAAGTTTAATGAATCACATATTCAAAATAAAAACAAAAAATCTAAATATGTGAACAAAGAAAAGTATAATACGATTCTGAAAAAAGAAGGATATACATCAAAGATTGACCTTTATCTTTGCCAATGATTAAATTTCGGATTTTATAGTTGATAGTATCAAGGGTGCCCAATTAAACCAGGTCTTGAGTTTCATCATCCTAAAACCTCTTAATTTCAAATTTTGACAATCTTTTGAAACTAAGTTATGAGAGATTTATTTTTCATAAATATTTTAGTTTTGGCGCAATTGATCTGTCTTTGACCGGATTGGAAAGGGAATTAATCAAAATGTGTGAAAGTTGACCCGAACAACCCTGATCGTTGAAAAAAAAATAAAGAAGTTAATTCAAAAAAAATTCTTGTCCTCC